CTGTATTATTATATGTTTCTGATGCTCCGTCATTCATGTTCGCTCCCCATAGAGTTTCAGAGTCTGAGGACTGAGAGCTGGGTTTCTGCACCAAGAGGAGGATCTGTCACCATCCCATGTTACTATGACCAAAATAATGCAACTTCTTACTTGTGTAGAGGATATGAATGGGATTCCTGCTCCAGAATAGCACAGTCAGATGGGGAACAGAGTAGAGGGACAGTGTCAGTCTCTGATGACCGTGACCAAATGGTGTTTAATGTGACCATAAGGGACCTGCAGGAGGAGGACTTTGACTATTACTGGTGTGCTGTGGAGGCGTCTGCAGCACAAAGCTATCGTTCCGTTATGCCCCTGATAGTCCGGGAAGGTAAGATGTCAGTTCCTGAAGGTGCTTCTGTTTGACCCTGAGACACACAGAGGGAGAGAGCTGTTCCTGGGCTGTGATTCACACTAAATGAGTCCATAGTGACCTTGTGCTTCTGCCTGTCACACTGTGATAAAGCCAGAGGGTGTTTTTCCATACAGCGTCAACCAATCAGAACCAGAGTTTAATGCTGTCACTCAAAGTGGGATATCAAAATTAATACACGTCTAAATTAAAAGAGTTTCTTTTGCTTTGAGCTTCCATTATATATAGGTAAAGTATTACATAGGTAGGATGTTGTTCATCTAAAGTTAGGACCTGATACTTACTAACTTAATGTGTCTCTGTAAAGTTTTAGCAATAAAGAATGGGGCATTTCATTCAGGTCTTAGTGAATACAGTCAGAAGCTGCAATATTTGTATATATGTCAATGTTAATGTAAGTGGGAGTTGAGGTCTGGCTCAAAAGCAGACTGTAGTGAATCAGACGCTGGCTGTTTAACATGCATCCCTGCACTGTGTACCTGTTTGTGTATTTGCATTTGGTGCTGGTGCCAGATTCTCAGTCTTCATTGATGTTGAACTAATTCAGTGGTGTTTCCTATGATCCTTGACAGAAATTCATGTCCCGCCTACACCACAGACAGAATGGAACCATCGTACGGCACTGAGAAAAACAGTTTCTTTTTTTCCTCAGTCATCAGAAAAGAACTCTACAAATTCCAATGAAAGGTAGGACATGTATCTGGATAGATTCCTGGGGTCCAGCACTTTATAGGGGCTGTGAATGCTACAGTGCCCCCCTCCCTGTACTCGCCTACTCAGCAAAATCTCACGTGGGACCCCTTTCCCCCCCAAGGTGATCATTGTTGAAGGTGCTGTCAGGGGCCCAGAATTCCTAGTTACACCCCTGCATACAGTATATAGATGATATGTGGTAAATCATATACACTGGAGGAATCTTACATTTTGGTGTTTGCGGTATAATTATATCACTCAACTAAATCAGACTTATACTGTATGTCTGTTCTCCTTAGTGGCAAACAGGAAAAATCTAACTTTAGATGTTTAAGACCTTCCCATTAACCAAGGAATCATTATATGTAACATATGAATGTAATATTGTTTCTTACAAAGAATGTAGTGTTTTATTTCATTATGTTTAGTTATACACTTCTCAGTATTATTTGCATTGACGTTGCCTATAGTTGCTGGCAATATGACTACCTGTTTCGCAGTATCGTGTTGTGTCAGGAGACTTTCTATGCTACACCTTCCTCCTTGTTTGCAGTAAGGGGCAGAAACTGAAAATTGTGGATTTCATCATCTACTCAACCCTCATCATTGTAATTGTGGTGAGAATATGGACCTGCTGCAGTAAGTAGCTGAATCGTGGCCTTTTTTCTCAGACTAAATGCGAATGAGGAAACCAATCATGTTGAGACTGGAATATATGTCATGGTCAGTCATGCTGTTTTGATTGTGATTTGAGTAACTATGATGTCATCAGTAGAGATTATTTCCAAATATTTTTAAACAGGCTGTGTGTCAGGAAGAAAGACAGACGAGTTGAAGATAGAGGCTCTACAGAGTTTATTCATGAAACAAAGAGATAAACAAACAATACTGGCATCAGAAAACAAATGAATCATATTAAATTATCGGTTAAACTAAGTTCACTTTTTCAACACACTGTTAATAAATGTGTTATTTACTGTTATGATTCTCACACTGTCCAGTTTCACTATAGTAATATTTAATCCACACACGCTATAGTAACTGACCATGGTTTGGGTCACATTACACACTGTCTGTTCCCCATTAGCAGTTACCCAGTGCAGGGTCAGG